CGGACTGTTGAACAATACGAGTTCAAATCCTGCCACCGCCAACTCAGCGCTTGAGTAGTACTTCGGTACGCAAAAATGTTGGTCAATAACGGACGCTACTTTATATTAGTCTTAATGACTATTTGTGGCTGTTCCTATGCTAAACCAACAATATCTTTGGATGTAAGAACATTGTATAGAATAATATAGCATAAAAATTCAAATAAATAAAAAATAAAAATATAACGGACGCATACCAATCAAAACATCGTGTGCTTGTAAATCATCATTGGCTTATCAAAGACAAACAACCTTTTTTGCATATATGAAAATATACATGTTAAAAATATTTTACTTATATGTTTTTCCCTAATAATTATAATTTTAAAAATGTTTTTTTTTTTTTTTTTTGGGAGGACGCCAAAAAAAAAAAAAAAAAAAAAACGAAACTGATCAGAATAGAACTTTTTTATTTTTTGCAAAGAGAAGTGGAATTTAAAAAAACGTATCATGTTTTACATTTCATCACTTTTACTAAGAAATATTTTTTGTTGATTTGTGATTTGATTCTTGTGTTTTGAAATAACACTTCTCCTGAGCTCAGATCCAGCTGGATATATTATGTTGAACTTTGTATGCATTTTAGTAAAATGCCTGTACAGATTTTGTTTTTTTAACTGTAAATATGTTTCAAAACAAATACGTCTGGTTTTGATGACGGTGTTTGTGTAAACAAAAATTATATTTCCCATTCATCTCTGAAAGAAAGGCTGTGATGATAATTCACTTTCACTTTTCTTTTTAAGTTAGACCTTTTGTCACTTTTGGCCATTTTAAATAGAAAAATATTTTGTAATTTCAAGGAACACTTTTCACTTGTTAATTTTTCAATCAGTTCTGTTTTGTACTAAAAAGAGTTTACTAAACTAATTAAAAACTATTTTTTGATTAATAATTTTAATTAATTTAAATTTGATTTGATTTAGTTACTAGTTACAGAGAAAAAGTCCATTTTGAACTGTGATTTGGGCATTTGGGTAATGTTTTCGTTGTCTCGTATTTCTTTCTTCCTGCTGGTGCGAATTGATAAAAGTATTCTTATAATGTATGGTTCTTCTACAATTTTACGGCTTCTCAGTACTTGAGAATTCAATTTTACTTCTCTAAAAATGTCTCAGTTGCTCTGATTTCTTTTTTCATGACATCTAAAGAGACACCGAAAGATTAGGTCAAATTATTTGTTTTGTTCACTTGAAATAAAATATAATACCAGATGACAATAGACAAAAGAAATATTCAATCTGAAAAATATGCTACCGATGATCAAGCCTCCGTGTGTTTCTGTTTTTCCATATTTTTTCAATTAATACTCCTCCAGTCTTCTCAACGAGTTTAAAACATTACCAGCTTTATTAAATCGGTTTTAATTGTCAATCTTCAAGTGATCTTTTAATCTTTAAGTGATCAAATGCTAAAACTTTGTGTGGATGATAAAGTATAGTGTACAATCTGGGTAGCATACCAAAGAATCCCAAAGCCCTAGTTGGCAACTTAGCACAGTCAACCAAAAACAAAATTCAAGGAGTGATTAGCACAAGGCACATATAGAGCTTTAGGATTCATTTGTAAAATATGTGATTGGACACCAGAACTCTTCCCTTTTATATTAAAACCCTTATCATACATATGGTTCCAACAGTTTGACATATTCAGTTTCAACTCCTTTCCTCGCTTTAAAAACTTGTTAATGATCATATGAGTACTATACAGAATTATTGTATAGTAGGTTTTTCTTCTTGACCTCTTTTGCAATTAGTTGAATTAACTTAATCTGAATTTTGTTGCGGAGATAGTGATTACGAGTTTTTTTTAAAAATCCTTTTTTATAGCTTGTTCAGTACAGGATCTCTTAATGCTAATAACTCAAACAGATCCAAAAGATTTCTATTGTGTGTTGAGCAAATTATTTTTCTGAACCTCTACAAGCCAAATTTCTTTCTAAACGGAACTTTACAATGTCAATAAGACGCTTCAAGACATCCCTCCAGAATTATCTTTCTTTAAGAAAAAGCTGCATTCTTGTTTATCTATGGATCATTTATTATTGATATTCTTTTTAAACTGCATCCATTGTCTGAAACAATTTTGATTGGAAGTGCCTGTTTTATGATCTTTCAGCTTTTTAAGTTCTTCTCGTGTACTAATACCTCTACAAAATGGCCTTTCAATTTTTCAAAAAATTTAACGCAAAAACATAATACCTTATTAGATTTTTTCGAACATACAAACCATAACCAAGGCATATTTTATCCATTGTTTATCACGCGTTTGTAATGGACCAATGAAAATTGACGCCTTGCAACATTTTTGTAAGTAAAGTCAATTTTAACCTGCTGAGGGTCATGTTTGACTAGGTCACATAGTTGAGCATCAGAAATTTGTTCAGACTAACTGGCTCGGTTACAAGTGACAGAAATAAATGGTGGCAATCGTAGAGTGCACATTTTTTTTGCTGTATTAGGTTGATCATTGGCAATATCTAACTGTTCACAAATGACTTTCTCGCCATCAGAACAACTTTGTCTATCGCAGGTGCAACTATTTTGAATAGGTGTAAAAAATGATGTCAGTTTGGGAAGTTTGCTAGTTGCATTTTAGTTGGTGCTGCCTTTTCCTGTTTAGTTGCACTTGACTTTGAAGGCTTTATTATCTAAAATAAAAAGTAAATTTACAGAACGTACATTCATGATATTGGACTGTAACACAATGTGCTAAATGTATACAATCTTTTTAAAACTTTATCAAATATATCAAAATAATGTGGTAGTGGTGTAGTGGTAGAGCCATTCACTTCATAACCGAGAAGTTCCAGATTCGATCACCACCACGTTCCTGGTAGTACTGCGCTCAACTTGTTTTTTTGCTCATTGGCGTTGTTTATCAATTTCGTGCTTTGGAGTTAGAAAGTTGATCAAGGTTTGTAACCACAAAAAGTAGCCTCCTTTACTTGTCGTGGCCCTCACAGCCTTAGACAGGTGAATAACAATATAAAAAAAAACTTTATAGTAACATAGATAAAATTTGTCTTTCAAAGAAAAAAATAAAGATTTACTTTGTGCGCATATTATTTCAAATAATTTACACTACGTTAACAAAATAATAACTTTAAAAATTTCAATTTGTACCATACAATTTTTTCCAATAATTTATATTTTTTTAAATTAAAAAATCGAATTTTTAAATAAACAAGTTCTTATATAATTGGAAAAAAAAAACGTAATAAAATTCATTTAAACAATCTGTAGAACACATTGAACGAAGTATAACATTTCAAATCCAAGCCTTATATTTATAATACTATAAGGTTTTAATGGATTGTATCCATTTAACTTATTATATTACAGTCTAATACCTTGAATGCAAATTATGTATATAAAAAAGATACTATTGCTTGTTTATTACTTTATTATTAAAATAAGAATTTAATAATAAAGTAATAAATTAGTAAAATAAATAAAAAACTTTTATATATTCTTATCAATATCATATTAATGTAATGAACAAGCAAAAAATCATATTTTGTTGATAATAGATAATCTTTACGTAGCCTATATATTATTTTTAAAAAGTATCTTTATAATAACCACTACGTAGCCTATGTATTATCTAAATATAAACTTCAGCTAACTTTAAAGTGTATTATGTTTACATGTGGAATACTTTCTTGCTACTAAATAACGTAAAAAAAACAAGTGTTTGGAAAATAAGAATTAAATAATAATTAAATATGGATTATTTGAACAAAAAATAACCCTATTTCATTATTTTAGACTTACCACTAATTCAAACATTTTTTTTTTTGCAAACTGCATAGAAAGACACTTTTGCGGAGCTTTAGGAAACATAGGTATGGCACTGCTTATATTACAAAAGCAGTACTTGATGTTACCATAAGTGGTAAGTGGCTCTCGGATCAAATATCAGATTTTTTAAGTTCTCTTTCTCAATAAAGTTTTAAAACTCTACGAGTGGTTATATTATTTGGGGAGATTTAATTATAAAGATGGAGAAGAACAACTTCAAAGTAAAAAAAAATTTTTATAGTATTTTTTAAATAAAATTAAAAAAAGACTCCAAAAATTTTATACCAAAGTTTTTACCCTGGTAATAAAAAGCAAAATGTTTCATGTGTACTATTGATTTTTGATGAAACAACAATTGCAAGTTTTTTCCAGAAAAAAATGATATTTTTGCAATTGCAAGTATTTCCCAGAACAAAATGATATTTTTGGTTTTCTTACCATTTTTCAAAAATGGTGAACTATTTTAAATTCAAAACAGCTACTTGGTACAGATAAACTTGGCAACGCAACTTTTTTTTTATGTTAGTAAAACAACGTCTTATAGGCAACGCCTTTTCAATAAGTAATTGAGAGCACAATGATTGTAATTAAGAAATCATAATATGTATTTGAGAAACACAACACAAAGTTTAGAATATATAACATCTAGTTGAGAAACAAAACATATAATTTAGAAATCGTAACATGCAACTGAGAAACACATAATGTAGTTTAGATACAATATTTGTAATAGTTTCATATAGATTGCGCTAGCAACATCCTTTTATGGAGATATAAAGTAAAAATTATTATAGTGTGAGTAACTATAGTGTGAATAACTATAGTGTGAATAACTATAGTGTGAATAACTATAGTGTGAATAACTATAGTGTGAATAACTATAGTGTGAATAACTATAGTGTGAATAACTATAGTGTGAATAACTAGGATTTATCAGTTTATAAGAGAAGAGTAATATCTTAAGTATTTGTTCTTAACATCTGTAAAATATAAAGCAATTATAACATAGATAAAAATCTAATAAATAAAGTCCGATCCAAATAGTTTAATTATGTTATTGTAAGCTGTATATCAGATAATTTTCATTTGGCTATGTTTTTTGAGAATTTTGTTTCTCGCGGTACTACGTGTTTATTTATCTTTATTATTATTATTTAGCTATCGTTGTCTTTAAAAGCTATTGGCACAATCACTACAATACCGTTGATTGATGAAAAAATTTCAACAGAAAATTGCCATGGTGAATTTTACTCTAACTCGAATCAAAACACATTTTTCATACAAAGCAAAATACAAACTTATTTTATTTTTGGGATTGTTTCATATATTTTTATTTCTTTTTTTTTATAGTAACTTTGAAATAGCGCGAACAAGTTTTCATGAATTAAAGTAAATTAATGAGCGATAATCGCCAGTAAAAACTTTCGCAACTTAAAAGAGCTTGAAAATATAAAACATTTTTACTTATGTATAAACTATTTCCCAAAATAAGGAACTTAGTTTAAAAAAACATTTAAACATTTTAATTAGTGTTTCCATGCTTTATTCGTATTTATGAACAGAATAGGGTAGGGTAACTAAGGTAGGGTGGTAATCTAAACCTTTTTTTTTTAAATAGTTTGATAATGAGTATATATATATATATATATATATATATATATATTATATCATGATTAGACATCATTTTTAGTAAATTATTTTTAAAAAACTTCTATATTATTTTTAATGTTGTAAATCTGAGTACAGATTTGAATTGCGTTGAATACACCCGCATTACCCGCTTTACACCCACATAACACCCTGCTCAGTGACTTAATATGGGTCTAAAGAAACTTTTCATCTTTTTTCGACAAAATACACCAAATCATAGCAAAATATGAATGGAGTTGTTGAGTATATATTAAATTTAAATTATGTGATGAAAAGTTTAAATATAATAGTACTTCGACAGCTGTTGAAGTACTATTATATTATTCATATTAAGTATATAAGTATAAATATCATATACTAATTATATGATATTTATATTCATATTAAGTATATAATATTTACACTTATATTAGGTATATCATACTTATATTTATATTAAGTATATGATATTTATATTTATATTAAGTATATGATATTTATATTTATATTAAGTAAATGATATTTATATTTATATGATATATGTATATCTATGTATCTATGGATATATGTATATTATATGTATATTTTGTTCTTTTTATTTATGCAAAATAACTATTACAATCAAATAAAAGAAATAAGAAATGCATGCAAATAAAAATTACAACTTTTGTTAAATATAAAAAAAGAAGAACGCGGAGACTTGCAGAAGATCTTATGATTTTGTCATCAAGAACCGCTTACAACTGACAATCATTTCGTATTTAAAAAACAATTTCGTAATGTATATAAAATAAATAAACGAAGTCTAATAAAGATTTTAAAATAAAAGTTAGAAGTAAAAATTAACGTTTTTGCATATATATATAAAATGCAAAATGAATAATATAAAATGTATAAATTAACATATTACACAAGCCAGTCAAAACAAAGTTAACAAAACTAAATTTAAATATACAAGTATGTGATCAAACAAATATTTTAAATATAAGAATTCGTATAAACATTATAAATAAATCAAAGTAATTAAAATTAAAAATATACAAGTATGTTTTCAGTAGAGAGAATAATATTTTTTAATTTACTTTTAAATGTACAGGTGGTTGCACCCCAAAAGCCACGCGAAAGTAGGAGGGTCTAGATTTATTTTCTAGGGACAGATCATAATTTTGTTAATATGGGTTCTGAAAGATAAGCCTAAATAGGGTTCTTCCTGGTAGGTATGGTTTTTTAAGTCTCGCTTGAGTTCTTTTTCTAGAATGTTGAAGTTAACCTCACTTTTTTTCATGCACCCCAAAAACAACATTGACAAAATTGGCTATAAAATCTAAACTATTTGGAATTAAAACCTGATTTTTTTGTAGAAGATAGTTATAATAAATTAGTCTTAGGATGATTGTATCATTGCTAACTTAAATTTTTAGGATGTACTTCAATGTACCACAAAAACCACATCATGTGCACCCCAAAAACCACGTTGGTTATTTGAATATTTTAGAAAATATATAAAATAATTCAATAAAAAAATTTTAGGATGTACTCTAAGATAGTAGCTCTTTGTCATCAAAAAAAAAAAAAAAAAAAGTTAATGTATTGTGGAAATACTACCATTGAACTATGTTATGTTTTTTGTTGTTTTAGAATTTTGTTTAATATAATATTATAAAGTAAAATGAAACCATCATCTGCATTACATCTACGTATAAACAAATCAAGAAATCTCAGTACTAAAGCTGATGCCATAGTGGCCAGAAAACACACAAATGATAAAAATAAACAGTTAGAAGCTGCAATAAATTGGTGCAAAAAATTTAATGGAAGGGGACAAGCAGCATTAAAGACAGGTTTGTTTCCCCTTATTAAAGATAGAGAGACAATCAACAGGCGATTAGATGGAAAAGTGATTAATGGAAAAGAAAGAGATTATTGTACTATACTTACAGATGATGAAGAAGCATCTATTGTGCGTTTTATAAAAAATAAGAACAGATGTTTACAGGCAATTAACAAACAGGACATAACCAAATTAATTATTAATGTGCTTCGTGTGAGAGATTACATTAATACAAAAATGAAAGGTGGACGGAAGTTTCAAAAGTTATCATTAAATGCTCGAGCTGCTCTAGAAAAGGGAAAGTAAGTTTAATTGAATTCATTTAATCTACAATGATCCTATAAAAGTATGTAAGACGGGTAATATGACTCTTTTCTTTATGTAAATATTCCATTTTATAGATTGAGTCGATCATTTTGGCTTTGTTTTAATGCTAAACATAGCAGCCTTACAATCAAACGCCAAGGGAGTGTCTCGATAAACCGTGCACTTAATTGTTCAAGAGAAATGGCATGTAATCATTTAGGTAAGTTATTAATGAACAAATATAAATTCATAAATCTGAATGTACTTTTTTTTTTAATTTGTTCATTTCCCTATAATAACATTATTTCAGATTCCCTTGCTAAAGAACTAGTAGATGTTGGTATTATGATAAATGAAAAAATGATTGAAACAGGGGTTTGGAATGGCACTGTTGATACATGCCGAATATTTAATTGTGATGAAACACCCCAGTTTATTAATTATGGAATTGATGGTACCACTTCTGGATTATTTTATGCTGGCAAAGGAGATGCATGTCAAAGAATGTATAGAGAAAACAGAGAATGTGTCACAATTCAACCATTTGTTTCATTTTCAGGTATGCTATAATATGTTATGGTTCAAGAAAAAATTGAATATAAATAAATACAAGCATTAAAAAACTTTTTTATTTTTTATTTTTAGGCGACATATGTATGTGTCAGGTAATATTTAAATGTACTGGTATTACTAGTTCTATGGTTCCAACAGAAGCAGTAAATAAAATTCCCCATTTGTTGGTCACAACTACAGATAATGGAGTATCAACCCATGAATCTTTCTTGGCAGCATTGAAAGAGTTTGATGTCTACTTAAATGAAAAAAATGTTAAGCGACCCATCGTCTTATTATCAGATGGACATAGCTCTAGACTAGACTTTGATGTATTATCTTTTTTGGAGTCCAAAAGAATTCATCTTTTTCTTACTCCACCAGACACAACAGAAGTTACTCAACTTCTTGACCAAGTAAACAAGAACATTCATAGTGAGTATCGTAAGCAAAAAGACTCTATGTTTTCTGATATCTGTTCCTTAAACAAAGAAGCTTTTATGTTAGTTTTAGCTAATATATGGGACAAGTGGACAACCAAAGAAACGCTTGTAAAATCTGCTAAAAGGGTTGGTGTTGCCGAAAATGCATTGAGTGTTGATTTTATGCAAAAAGACAAATTCGAACGAGCAGAAACTGTATTGAACCAGAAAAACAGACTTCTCCACTAATTTCTTCGCCGGATAAAAGACGTGGTTCAGCAAATTATTGGAAATCAAAATTTCAACAAGCGATGGAGTTGATTGATGAACTTCATGAAAAGAGCATTCAGCTGGAAGAAATACCTGGTTTTATGACAACCAAAAAGATAAAGCCAAAATTAACAAAAGATGCAACACGTGTTACCCAAGTACATGGATCAATGACTGCAAGCGATGTAATAACTCTAGTTGAAAGCATAAAAAGAAAAAAAGAAAAAGAAAAGGAAAAAAAAGAAAATGCTGCAAAAAAGAAAGAGGAAGTTACAAGACTCTTTATAACATGTAAGCTTCAATGCTATTGCGAGGAGATAAAATGTAAAGCTTTTGGCTTAAAGCGTCCAACCTGCCTCAATATAATGCGGTCCATTTGCAGCAAAGCAAACTGCAAAGTAAATGGAAAAAACCCAGAAATGATTTTATCTGCAGCTGCTAGAAAGAAATAACTGTGATATTCAAAATCTTTTTTATTGAATGAACTATTTGTTTTAAATTTGTTGTAAAGACTTGTTCTGGATAAACTTTTTTTTTTTAACTTTTTCTTAGCGCACCCCAAAAACCACATGTTAAAATGTAATTTTTAAACTTTTTTTTACAAGTTTCCCTTCTACTTATAATAAAAATGGTTTGATTTATGTAAATAGCATATAAAAGATAAGCAAACTAGATGGGATTTGCAAACTTAGTCTAAAAAACCAATATTTTATAGCAATATTACTTAAAACTCAATTATTTTTCTCAGCACTTTTTAAGTTTAAAACGGTTGTAAAAAAACTCCTTTATTGTTAATATTGATTTCTTTTGTTTTAATTGTTGCTGAAACATTTCTTTTATGAGAAAAAATTTCTCATATGGTTTTAAAATGCATATTTAAATTTTTAGAGCCTTTTAACTGACCGCGTTGTTTTTGAGGTGCCTTGGTTTTTGGGGTGCATCTACCTGTAAAGAAGTTTCAGTCTTGAAAAAAATCAAAATGTTTCAAAAAATTGTTCCACAGAAACGCCCCTCGAAAAGAAATACAAGACTTGCCTAAATTTGTTTTAAAAACAGGTTGTAGAATGAAATAATAATTTCGTAAATTATACTTATTTTTTTCTTTTGACGAATAAAATAAAAATCGTAAAAAGAAACCGGAGCTGTACGATTTTTACATTTAAACATAAAACACAGTACATTAAATACATTTAGTTGAAATATATTATGTGTATGTGAAATAAAGTATGTGCAAAACGGTTTTATATTATTTATATTAAGTAAACGGTCTATATATTTATATTAAGTATATGATTTTTGTATTTATATTAAGTATATGATATTTATACTTATATTAAGTATATGATATTTATATTTATATTAAGTATATGATACTTATATTTAAATTAAATCAACTCAACTCATTTCTTTGCGCAGCGGCTTTGTTCGTCAAGATTCGTGTTTCGGAGTTATAGAGTTGAGAGAGGGCCATTTAACCACAAATAAGTAGCCTCCTCGTCTGTAGTGGTCTTCTCGGCCTTGAGGAGGTGAATTAACAAAAAAAAAAAAAAAGTATATGATTTTTGTATTTATATTAAGTATATGATATTTATATTTATATTAAGTGTATGATATTTATATGGTCGAACCTATTAAACCACCTATGACATGCAAAAAAAAAAAAACTTTCGATAGACCAATACTACCCCACCATACCCTACATTTATGTTTATTATTTAATGATTTATTGTCACATAATAAACTAGAGTTGTTAGGTCGAAGACTTTCTACGACTTTGAAAAAATAAAATTATTTCGGAAAGATATTGAGAATAAGGAATTAATTTTTTTCGTACCGAATATTCTGAAAAATTGAAAATGTCGATGTTCATATCGCTCATACTACTTACGAAATTTAGCTTTTTGCAAGTTGAATTACTAAATAAAACTATTTTGCTAAAGATAGTATATAGCTACATTGAAAGTAGCGCCTAAGAAAGTTGCACTTGCGAAAAGAGTTCTCTCACTAAACAACGTTTTGAAGTCTATAAAGAAAGTTTGTTCGCCAGTATGATATAATTGTAAAGAATAAAATCGTTAAATAAAAAAGTGTTTATTATAAAATTTTATTTACAGTATCGCAACATAGTAATATTTTAAAGTTTTATTTTTTAAAATAATGATAAACAACTAAATTTCTTTCGAAAACAAAACTGTTTCGCGCCGCAACTTGCGAAACAGTTTTTAAGGTAGTAAGGGTTGTAAGGTGGAAAGGTCATTTGTTCCGCCTTGTGTCGTCTGCCCTGGAGATCGTTTTAAAATGTAACATCCCAAAGTCTTTGGGACTATACAACTGCTGAAAGTTTTAAAGCTCTATCTATGTTGGAGGGCCGTGAAAAATCAATTGCAAGATTTTGTAGCAAAAAAAAGGGCACGTACATTACAAACATTACCCCTGGTCTTCGCCCATAAAAACAATTTTAACATAGAAGCTCACTAGGACAACACAAGCGCTGAAAATTTCAGGGCTATTGCCAGTTTGAAAGGTAGTGATAAATTAATCGAATGATTCATTGAGAATTGACAACGGCAAAACAACACGTGAATTTAAATTAAACTTTGTAATGGAATCAAATAGTTTACTGGATATATATATATATATATGAGAATATAAACAGTAAACCTCCATTTCTGTGAAGCCAAAGGCAAAAAACAGCCAAAAGTTGGTACTTGATATATATAAACACTAGCGAATAAACAGGGGGCAGAGAAAGCATTGCCCCTTCCTCAACTAACTCAAAATGTCAATTTTTTAATGTATAATTAGGAAGAACATCAACTAACTATTTATAATTCCTTTTTTGCCATTTTGGATAAATTTTATCACTATTTTAGATAAAATTATTAGTATTGAGAGAAACTGCATTTCTTGATATTTCAAAATAATATATATATATATATATACATATATACATATATATATATATATATATATATATATATATATATATATATATATATATATATATATATATATATATATATATATATATATATATATATATATATATATATATATATATATATATATATATGTATATATATATATATGTATATATATATATATATATATATATATATATTTATATTTATATATATATATATATATATATATATATATATATATATATATATATATATATATATATATACATATATATATATATAATATATATTATATATATATAATATGTATATATATATATAATATATAATTTAAAATTTATCCAAAATGGCAAAAGTGGAATTATGAATAGTTAGTTGATGCTCTACCTAAATATGCATTATAAAATTCCCTATCATCTATTGGTCGACCAATTAATATTATTGAAAAAGTATTCACAGTGGTAAAAAATCCGAATAAAGTTGGACGGTAATGGGACCGCTACAAAGAAATTTTTACTGCTTATATTTTACAAATTCAATTAACAATTGTTACAAATAGTTATGTATTATTTATCTAGAGTAGAGAGCAACACGGTAACGGGAAAAGCAACATTACCGCGGCACCGCCGTATTATCGCGGGAATATTAAATAAACTACGTTAATACTGCGGTAATGGGTTTCCACTCATCCGTTTTTCTACGGGAACAGGATAGGAAAAGAAAAAATAATCACGTGAGCATGCGCAATAAAAGTTTTTATTTATCCGAAAGAAAACTGCGCATGCTCACGTGTATTATTTTTCTGTTCCCTTTTCCTTTCCCTTACAAAAACGGATGAGTGGAAACTCACCTTTACATTCTTTAATTGGAACGCAATTATATAGAAACTCTGAAAGATTTAAAGAAGAAGCCAACAAAACTCTAAAACTTATGGTAACGTTCATTGGATTCTTACTGAGAAAAAGTTTAAACAAACTAAACAAATTGACAGAGAAGGGATTTACTCGCTAAAATTTTATATTTGAGAGCAACAATTACACACTTGTGTAATTTGAAATTTTTTTAAAATTTCAACCCCCTAAATTTAAGAGGGATTCAAACTTTATATGGTCATATTTTTTCAATGCTGATAAATTATACAATGAAATTTTTTTTTTTTTTTTTTTTTTTTTTTTTTTTGTATGTATTTAGGTGCTCCCAGAAGTCCTTACGATCTTATCATAGAGCACGGCGGGTGAGCATTTAACAGGAAGTTCACGCCTCCTTCTGTACCAATGTCGCTTGTTGGGCTGGAGCTGGCATCGAACCTCAGATCTCTGGGTTCTGAGCCAAACCTCTAACCACTACGCCACGGCTGCTCAAATTTAAAACTTATCTATGCATATAAGTTTAGTTAAGCCTCCTTCCGTACCAATGTCGCTCCTTCCGTACCAATGTCGCCAATATCTATGCATATAAGTTTAGTTAAGCCTCCTTCCGTACCAATGTCGCTTGTTGGGCTGGAACCTCGGACCTCTGGGTTCTGAGCCAGAACTCTAACCACTGCGCCACGGCTGCTCAAATTTAAAACTTATCTATGCATATAAGTTTAGTTAAGAATAGTTAAAAAAAGAAAGAAAAAAAAATTCAGCTTATTAACTTACTGCTCTCACGTTTAAAGTAGGGTGCAATGGCAAAAATTTTTAGAGTTTTTAAATTCCGATGTTCGCATTTTTTTGCACCATTGTTTTATTTAAGTATAAAAATTTAAATGTTTCGATTGTGTTCCATGCCTGTTAATTAATTTAAATTTCAAAAGATGCTGATCCGCTTTTTAAAGATGTTATAAATTAGGTGTTTTGATTCATAAATCTAGCTTATAGGGGAGACCAGGGGTAATTTGCAACAAAGACCCGGGGTAGGTTGCAACACATTTTATAAAACAATGTTTGTTTCCCAAAACTTTTTTTTTTTTAAAGGGTAGTAAAATAAGACTAATCCAACATCGATAGATAAGACTTTTTTTTTTTTTTTTGTATATATTTAGGTGCTCCCAGAAGTCTTTACGGTCTTATCATAAAGCACCGCGGGAGAGCATTTAACGGGAGGTTCACGTCTCCTTCCGTACCAATGTTGCTTGTTGGGCTGGAGCTGGCGTCGAACCTCGGACCTCTGGGTTCTGAGCCAGAACTCTAACCACTGCGCCACGGCTGCTATTAATTACCCTAACAATGATAGAAATAAAATGAAAAAAGTACTCAGAAGTATTTTCTTTGAGCTGCAATACTTCTATTATGTAGGAGAATGTTGCTTCTATTATGTAGGAGAATGTTGCTTCTATTATGTAGGAGAATGTATAACTTCTTTTACGGATAAACTACTGATTTTTTTGCGAATTTTTTTGCTTAAATATATTCATACAGGTTTGATGGTGTTATTTCTTAAATTAAAAGAAATAACACCATCGATAGTGTTATTGCTTTTAATTTCTTGGTTATTTAGTTAATATCCTTACATTGTTTTTTTGTTAAAAAATTTACGATCTCCGTTTTAAATTTTTTTTTATTCAATATTTTGTAATTACGTCAGAAAGAAACAAGATGGTCAAATATTTATTATAATTGGTTTCCTAAGATGAGATGATAAAGTGTGTTTAAAAAAACGCAATTTTTGGCATAAAGATTTTTTTCATTTAAATTCTTTAAAAGAAAAGACTAAATGCTGATAATCCAAAAAATTAATATTAAAATATTAGAGATATTATTAAATTAAAATAAATATTATATGATTTTGGCTGCATAAAGCAGAACACTGTTAACATGTTCAACTTATGCAACCTTCCTGAATTTATGATTATATTATAAACAATAAATGGAAGGAGAGACTTGTCGAAATTTAAACAGCGCCTTAATTGGAAAACTTGCATTTATTTCGGAAATAAAATTGAATATAAAAAAAAATTAAAATGATGAGCTTAAAAACATGTCTACTTGGCTCTTAAACCAAAACTTGAACTTTTCCAAAAACTTTAACTCTTGGTTTTCCTGGAACTTTAAAACATGTCTACTTGGTTCGAATTTAACAAATAACGATCTAAGTTTACCTATCTTTAAAGACCTTTTTTCTCCGAACCCAATAAATAAATATATACATAGATATATGTACCAATTTGCAGAATAAAGTTTAACAAATTTTTGCATTACATTTCGAGCACCATATCTTTGGAATAAAATTTTTATACCTAATTTTTATATATCCAATGCTTTTCCGATTTTTAAGAATAAACTTTAAATTTTTATTTAATCAATGATGATATATTTAAATACTTTTTATGATAACCACATATTTGTCTTTTTATTTGAAAGACTGTTTTATTTTCTCTATACTATTATAAAAAGATGTCCTACTGTATTTACTTTGTATAATATCTATATATATACAAGGCCGGCTCGATAGAGGGGTGTGGGGGGAGGGAGTAGTAACCCCCCCCCCCCATCAATGACTTTTAGTCGGCAAATTTGACCCTTAGTCGGCAAATGTGACCCTTTTTGACTAGTAAGTCGGCAAATGTAGACCCTGTCGATAGGTTAGTCGGTAAAGTCAGTCGGCAAATGTCGTTATGGCAGTCCGTAAATTTTAAAAAACAAGGACTTTTTTTTTTTTTTTTTTTAGAAGGAAAAAGTTGTAATCGCACCCCTTCCACCCCACGTGACCCCTACTCGCGCCGGCCCTGTATATATATATATATATATATATATATATATATATATATATATATATATATATATATATATATATATATATATATTTTTGCGCCAAGTAAACTATACAGATGTGGAGTATACAGTTTTTTTTGTTTAATGCTATGGGATTAGAAATGCAAGTAAAAACATAAACTTATCTCATAAATTGCTGCAAACACGATATTATGGTAATGTAATAAAATAGTAAAGTTTTCTTGTTTATCTTATACTATGCTTACATATACTTATACTTTTTTATTTTATGCTATGTTTTTCTTACTTAATCAGTGATAAAATTAATGGGTTGAAGAAATAGTTTGAGCGTAATTTAAAAAACAATAGTAACAATTAGAACCCTCAAAAATAATATCTTATTTAATTTTTAATTAATAAAATAAAAGAATGTCATAATAGTTAAAGCTTTTGTACAACTTATTATTTGTAGAATTTTACTTTGCCCAATCAAAGAGTTCAAATATTCTAATCTACATTATAGTTCGAATATTCTATTTTACATTATATGCATAAATAAATATATAATATATATATATATATATATATATATATATATATATATATATATATATATATATATATATATATATATATATATATATATATATATATATATATATGCTTATATATTATATAGATATAAATTAAACTTATATCTATATAATATATAAGAATATATATACTCATATATATATATATATATATATATATATATATATATATATATATATATATATATATATATTATATATATATATATATATATATATAATATAAATACATATATTATATGCATAAATAAATAAATAAATATATATATATATATATATATATATATATTTATGCATATAATATATGTATATATATATTGTTTATATTTTTTTTTTTTGGAGTTCATGATTTCCAGAACTTATAGTGGCTTGGATATAAACGATATTGCTAGAAAGCCATTGGTTATTTAATTGTTATATTTTTATCGGGTTTTTAAATCTTACATAATAATATAATTTACATTATATACAGTGACAGGTCCAGGAACCTTTGGTGGCAGTGGTGGGAGGGAGGGGGATGTTGAATTATTTTTGCATTTCGTACCACATTTACGTCTCCTAAAAAAAATAAAAAGGTCCTCAGTTACTAAGGTATTTTAGGACTTTCAGATTCTGGTAAAGGGTGGGATGCATACTCTATCTCTCCCTCCTCACTGATTATATATATGTATTCATATTACATATATATTAAACATTTATTTTATATATATATATATATATATATATATATATATATATATATATATTATATATATATATATATATATATATATATATATATATATATATATATTCATTCATATTACATATATATATATATATATATATATATATTATATATGTAATATGAATGTATATATATGTAATATGATTACATATATATATAAATATATATATGTAATCATATTGCATATATATATATATATATATATATATATATTATATATATGTATTCATATTACATATATATTAAACATTTATTTTATATATATATATATATATATATATATATATATATATATATATATATATATATATATATATATATATATATATACATATAAATATATATATATATATATTTATATATACATAAATATATATATATATACACAATTGTATATATTACTTACAATTCGTAATCAAAAATCAACACATGTTTTGAGTAAAATGAATATTTAATAGTTTTATTAAGATATTAAATTATTTTATGTAAGAAAGAAAAAGATGAGAGAGACCCGGCGATGACATTATCGTTATCATTTTTAATCTCACAGAGATTTTCAGCACAATTTCACTCATTTTTTTTATTAAAACGGAGCAATACAAAAGAACTTCTTTTATATTGAAAATTAAAAAGATCCGTAAAGAGATTAACCATAAGGAGAAGGAAACATTTTACTATATGGAACAAAAAATTACTAGTTTTTTTTTAATGAAAGATAAAATATAGAGATACGCAAAATAAAGACGGCGCTGAGATTAAATAAAAGACGAATAATAAAATCCAAACAATAAATGATATTGAGAGGCAAAAATAAAAAGATGAATGTGGTTTATTGAAAATGTCAAAAAAAAATTTTTTTAAAGGAAAAAAAGTCAAAAAAAACTTGTAGCCTTCTAACAAAAATGGGTGCTCGTAGTTTCTAACAACTGTTGAAATAGTTAGCTTCTTGAAATATAGTACCTTTTTTGCCTTGAAAAGGTTTAAAAAAAAAATTAGCACCTAAACTAATAATTTTTTTTTTAAAATCTAAATTAAGTTCAAAGTTCTCAACAGCGGTTCTCGGTGACAAAGACCTGTATCGTCTTCTTTGAGTATCCGCGTTCTTTATCTTTATTCTTTATTTTTTTAACGATTTCTTTGCATGTAATTTTTCTTATTGATATATTTGTAAATATTGTATTAAATATTGTATTATTCATTCATGTACACTCTGGTGGAATTATAGGTAAACAAATTTATCAATGACTACATTTTATAAGACAAAAAAAAAAAAAAAAAAAAAGGTTTACAGTTTGTTTATTACTTTATTACATAGAAAGTAATTCTATGTGGAAGCATATTAAATTGAGTTTCTTAGATTTAAAGTCAACTTGGCAGAGTCTAAATATTGACAAAAGTCTACTATACATAGGAAGTTTTAACCAATAAAAATTATTTATTTTTTCTTGATCAAGTGCTTACCTTAAGGAAACAGAAGTAAAAATAAGTAAAGAAGTAAGAAGTAAACACATGATGATTTTACATTATGTTTTTGTAAAATATTAAAAAAAAAATCTAATAAAGATTCTCTTGTCAAATGACAATCATTATTTGAAAGAATTATCTTTAAACAAGTTAAATTTAGAGGTTTATATTCTCAATTGTATTACATATTCTCAATTGTATTACATATTCTCAATTGTAATACATATTCTCAATTGTATTACATATTCTCAATTGTAATACATATTCTCAATTCTAATACATATTCTCAATTGTATTACATATTCACAATTGTATTACATATTCTCAATTGTATTACATATTCTCAATAGTAATACATACTTATACAGTTTTACATCGCTTGATACGCTTGATAGTAAAAAACTTGATACTGATAGACATAGAATATCATTAATAATAGACTATATTTCTATATATTAATAACTGACTTCAAACGCAGAAACTCACAACTTGGATTAGCGCTGTGAGTATTATGGTATGGAACATTAGCGTGAGGTTAAACACACACAAGTTCTTTATTAAAACAAATTTTATTTCATTCATTGAAGTTGACACATAAGGCTCGGTTTTAAAAATTGAATTTCCTGATAATTGGTTCATAAATCATGTATCACATTTTTAACTTATTTTGATTTCAACTTTCTTTCATCATTTCAGCCATCTTGAGTATTTATAAAACACGCCTACACCAGGAGATGATAATTAGGCGCCCCGTTAAAATGTGGTTTATTGAATTTATTCTTAATGAAACCGAAAAAGTTTATTTAAAAGAATGCCTTTTACATTCATATTTTAAAAATGCATTATGGGATTATACTTTTATTAAATTACTTTTCTTTAATCACTCAAAGCGACAGGAAGTCAAAATTTCATAAATAATAGTTAAAAAAGACAGGAACTATTTACTTCTTTACAAGGTGAGATTTTTTAATTTTTCTTCACATTTGTTATAATTCACAGTTGTTAAGATTTATCTCATATTAAGTTGAAACAGATCATACTACTTGAAAGAAAGAAATAATATATCTTTGTAAGTTTATTAATATTCAAAAGTAGATATTTTATATTTCAATAATTTATTGTATAAAAGAAACTCAGTTAAAAGCCGCTCTTGAGTGAAAACTTTTCAATATAAGTTTATTGAGTTTTTGTGAAATACTAAGTATATTTACTGCGTAAGTACACTTTTCAACATATTTTTTTCAATTTACTGTGTAAATAGACTTTTTGAAATATTTTTAAAATTTAAGAGCTCATATTCGGATATCAAGGATGATGCTTTTGATGCTTGCATTTGTAATCCATTTAATTAACTGTCAAAATCAGTACACTGAAACAATATCCTCTCTTGGAAGAACTCGCTTTGGTAAGCGTGACTACGAGACGAGAGAATCCGATTCCCCATATAACATTCACCAAAAAACACCATTCAAAACTTTCGGTTCACAATACAATCCTTCATTTAGAGAACGTTTTAATGGTGACCAACAAGATTTTCAACGATACTTGAAAAACTCACATGCACATCAAGCAAAACAAGTAAGATCATCAGAAAGAAATGATGAAGCGGAGAAACATGAGAAACGTATGTCAAGAGATCGTGCTATAAAATACTTAGCGCAAAAAGATAATGAAAAGGTTGTTGATGGAATTCAAAATTATGAAAATAGGGGAGCTAATGTCGTACCATTGTCTAGATTTGGAAGAAACATTGATTTAATATCCATCAAAAAATAATTTTTTTAAACATTAACTAACTCATTAGTATTTTATTAAATAATTTATTTTTTAGATAAATATTAAATATTATCAGAAGCGCAACGACGGATTTTATTTCATTAAATTTTCAAGCTCCAGATTTGTTGTAATTTTTTTTATCCATAATGTAAAACAAAAGTTGTATATGCAATTATATATATCATTTTAATCTATAATTTTGAATATTTTTTATTATATATATATATATATATATATATATATATATATATATATATATATATATATATATATATATATATATATATATATATATATATATATATATATATATATATATATATATATATAGCAACATCTTTTAGAACAGTATTGTTTTTACGATACTGCAAAAAATATTCACCAACATTACCATAAGTCAATACATCCTAATTTTCCGCATTCATATTAAACTATTCATAAATAAAAAAACATTCATAAATAAAATACCATTTCAGAAACAGAGACCTGTTTCTTAAATTGAGAGAATATTTTCATATGAAGCTACGATATCTCTTTATTCTTTCAATTAAGACGGTTATTGTTTTTTTTTTATGAAAATCAATGGTTATAAGTTAATGACATCAAAATGGACCTATAAAAAAAAAAAATTACCTTTGTTAATTTTGGTCGTTTTTGAACTTTTTGAAACTCTCAGAAACCTTTGCAACCGAAAAAAAAATTTTTTTTGACTGTTTGCGGTCTTTTATTACTCTGTACTAAAATGGAGGTATTGCATCAATCGTATAAAAACTTATTACTGAAACTAATATTAGGGGAACCTGTTGTACCTTTGACCACTTTTTGCTTTAAGGCGTTTTTTGCGTAGTCTATTGAGTAAACTTAAACCACTTAAACTATATAATATTCTTTCATATTTTGCCAAAAAATTATACTTAGGACTTTTTTTTCATTTGACTAAGAAGTATCTTTTTCCCGCGTTTTAAAAAAAGAAGTCTTTTGGTCAAAGGTACAACACATATGTTGTACCTTTGACCGATGCGCGTTGTACCTTTGACCAAACTGTTATTATTAAAAAATCATGCAATGTTTGAACCTCTTTAATATTTTAGCTTGTTATGTTATATAGCAACTTCTGGCCTACCTTTGTCAATAAAAAAACAAATCTTATTAATTTGTAACCAATCTTAATTGTCTAAAAAAATCCTTACAATATTGCCAAGACTCGTTTATCGAAGTTGCGATACTCAGTCAGTATTACTAATAGTGTTACTAATTTTTTAAAATAAAATCAGTTATTATAACTATTTAGATAATGTCACATATTTTTTTTAGTTAGATGCTACTTACATGAAATATTTAGGGTTAAGGTCCAAAACTTTAAATGCGATTTAGTTGTACAAAATATGTTTTTTAATATCTATAGTTATTTTTATTATTTAAGATAAGAAAAGAGCAAAAATAGATTTTTATAACTTATATCAGCTGGCGGTCTATATTCATTTACATATGATCATAATGCTTTTTAAAGGAAATATTTTGATGATGACAACAAAAAAAAACAATAATAAAAGAGTATAATATATTAATTATTACAAATAGTCAGATCAACATCAAACATAAGATACTGACGTTTAGATAAACCACCACCAATACTTGGTGGTGGAAGTTTCATAATAATATCTTCAAGTTCCACTTCATAAAGATTGTCATCTTTTCTTATAAATTTGTTACCAAAGTCTCCTGATTTCTTAAGATACTTAATTTTGTAAAATATACCAACAACTTCTATAACTTCTGCTACATAAAGTCTAGAGTATTTCTTTCCGACCAACTTGACAATTAAAAAACTTCCAGAAACAATTTCACTTTCATCGTCAAGTATATTTACTCCAAAATCAATTTCATTAGAGCTTTCATTATTTAAACACATGTCAGACTGACTAAAAATAATCTGTTTTGTCATTTTTTTTCTTTTGCTTGAAGAGGACTTTTTAAATTGTTGGTTATTAGATTTTGCATCTAAAATTACTTTAATTTCAGGTGTATCAGTTAAAATACGTGATTTTCCCTTACGTCTTTTTGAAGTATTTGTTTTTCTTAATTTGGCTTTAGGATGAGGTCGTATTATCTCAGGTGAAACAATAAATGATTTTGATGGTAAACTCACAATAGGGATTTCCCCTAAAACAATAGATGATGTTGATGGTAAACTGGATTGAGCAGTTTTAACATTAATACTTTTATTAGAAATGCAAGCTTCAGTATTCACTATTGGCCTATCAGTAACATTTGCAGCTAAAAAGTCAATATCAGTAAAAACATTTTCATTAAATGGATAAAATCCAGTACATTTAAAACTGTTTATAATATTATTTGGTACAAAAGCATGAGGATAAGCTTGACCAACAAGGTAAGATATATCATAAATTGTAACTGGTTTACCAGCATTACCTGGTGATATCATCCAGTTATTCATGGCATTGTTAT